TATATATATATATATATATTATATATATATTTAATTTCTTTTTGCTTTGTCTCTCTTTGTCTCTGCTTTTTTAATTTTTTTTTGGTTTTATCATTTCTCTCTGTCTCCTTTTTCTGTCTCTCTCTGTCTCCTTTTTCTGTCTCTCTCTGTCTCTCTCTTTCTGTCTCCTTTCTTTCTCTTTATCTCTTTCTCTTTCTCTCTGTCTCCTTTCTTTCTCTCTCTATCTCCTTTCTTTCTCTCTCTTTATCTGTCTCCTTTATCTGTCTCTATCTGTCTCCTTTTTATTTTTTTTTTCTCTCTCTGTCCCTTTCTCTACTCCTGCAGTAAATGTTTATCTTTTTGTTTCTTTATTTTTTATTTCTCTTTTCTTATTTTGCCTCTATATTTGTTTTTTTTCTTTCTGCTGCTGTCTGCTGCAGTTACGCTGCTGCAGCTGTGCTGCTGCTTGCTGCTGCTTGCTGTTGCAGTTGTGCTGCTGCTTGCTGCTGCAGCTGTGCTGCTGCCTGCTGCTGCTAGTCTTCAGCTAGGAGCTCCTGCAGCACTGCAGCAGTCTCTCGGGGGTTTCGTATCCACAGTGTAGGCGAACAAATCCTGTGCCAGCAGCAGCAGCAGCAGCAGCAGCAACAGCAACAGCAGCAGCAGCAGCAGCAACAGGAGCAGCAGCAACAGCAGCAGCAGCGACAGCAGCAGCAGCAACAGCAGCAGCATCAAAAGCAGCAGCAACAGCAGCAGCAAGAACCGCAATATGATTATCATTAGATAATAAATAATAAATAAAAACAATAAAAAACAATAAAAATAAAAAAATAAAAAAATAAAAAAATAAAAATAAATATTATTTACCTAGGTGTATCTATAAAGTAGGGTGTATAATACATCAATATAAAGCTAAAACTAAATAAAACAAAACTAAACAAAACCAAAATAAAAACAAAATCAAATAAAATAAATAAAATAAAATAAAATAAAATAAAATAAAATAAAATATATCTAGCAGAAAGATCACTGCCTACGCCAACATGCATCCCCTGGGGTGTATAATACATCAATAT